AGAAAGCTTGTATTTCTTTTGGTTCAAGGACTCAGTTGCATGAGTTTGAGATGAGGAAAATCGGTTTGACTGGAATTTTGTGTGTCATAGGCTCAGAGTTTTAGTTGATCTCAAAAAAAAAAAAAACATGCCTACAAAGTGATGAAACTGCTAAAAGATTCCTGTAGTTTTTGGTTGTGTTAACAGAAGTAAAGTGTTCAGATCATGGGAGATTATGATTCTAATCACTGAATCATTCAAGCTGGTCAGAGCAGAGCTTTAATATGTTTAATACAGGATGGCATGACTCTTAAGAGTCATTTTTACCAACTGCAGTGTATCTAGTAATTAACTGATGAGAGTGGGATTCTGGAAGTTTATGTGTGATGGCAGAAGGTTACTTTGGAGATGACAGGACTTAGAAAAGAAGCTATAGCTCTCTTAACTTATTCAAAGAACTTATAAGTAGAAGAGAGGAAAACACATACATCCAGGCAAGAGAGTAGGCATCAGCCCAATACAAAAAATTAAAAAAAAAAAAAAAAAAAGTTCAATAGCAACAGCTTTACACACCTCTCTCATTGCTCTCCATCTGGCTGTGGAATGATTTGGCTTTGCATCTTTCTCCCTCTCTAGCATGTGCTATTCATATGTACTCTTCTCTGTATCCTCAGCTCCTAGTAAGTCCTGGCCCATAACAGCTATCGAGTCAACATTTGGTGGACTGAACAGAATGGAAATGAACATCAAAGCTTCCCAACGGCAGGATAAGTAAGAGCTTCCACAAAGTCGTGAGCTGCCCATACCAGAAGGGTTTGGGCACAACCCAGCTGACTCCGTGCCAGGGCTACTGAGTGGGCATCCAGACTTTAACATGTGACTAAAATGAGCCCAGCTCTGATAATCTATGACTCTGTTTAATCCCACGAAGACACTATTTAGCAGTTGCTAAATCCACCTGCTTTTATCAGTTTGGGCTATTTTGGCATCTTGCCACCTCAGATTAGTGTTTCAAGCCCAGGGCCTGAGGTCACAGACAGGGACCTTGGCAGTGGCTCAGATTGTCCAACCAGACCTGGACACAAGTCATTGACAGATCACGACTGACTGATGCCACAGTCCCACAGTAGCCCTGGGGAGCTGTGAGCAGTGTCTGAAAATATTGAGTTCTATTCTAAATGCCAGGAAGGGGAAGAAGCAGCATGGGTAATCCAAAATCATGGGAAACTTAGGATTTGATTTTGGCTATGAAATAATGTCTTGCTCTTTTATCAGATAATTAGCTCCCTAATTATCTAATGGTTCTTGCTGACATCCCAAGGCATATGCCTTCTCTGAGCACACACAGCTGAGCACTTCAGGCAGGCCCTGGGACAGGCTGGACACAGACAGTCCACAGGTGGGGCCTGGCCTGTTTCTCATGTGAGTGGGGAGGGCCAACTCTCTTGTTCTTAGCCCTAGAGCCTATCCTTGCAGGAAGTGGCTACCATTAATAGAGACAGTGTCAGAGTGGGGAGGGTTCAATAAGGGGAAGAGGAAGGGTGCTGAGAGGGGCGTCAGAAAGAAGGTAGTACCCCACCAGGAAAAGTAGCAGCCCATTTCAGTTTGGCCTCATCCCTGGTGTGACATGGAAAATTAAGTTCCCTGTATGTCATTATAAGTCCAAGTGACATTCACAAATACTTGTCTCCAAGAGTCATCAAGAACATCTGTCACCGGGCGTGATGTTGGAACGGTCCCCAGGAGGGTTGGGAGAACAGCAAGCATGCTCCTAAAGCACAGTGTGGAGTTAACCAGGATGCAGCATTGCCTTCATGGTGTTCATTATGCATCCATCATCTCCATGTAGGGAA